TGCCAAAATTAAGAGTTGTCAGCAATCAAATCAAAGTGGCTGACTGTCAAAGATGAGACCTTTGCACCATATATCACAGAGCAAACACCATCAACTGCAACAACCCTAGCATGAGTGATTAATTCAAAATGAGAAGGAACCTGTTCTGAGAGTCAAACAGTCTCACCAGGTGCTTGCCTAGATGAAGCTACAAAGTGCTGAATAAAATCCCTTGAGAAATCTAGGATGTTCCTTTGGGTGAGGTCAGCATGTATAATGTAATCCTGTTGACAATTATGTCAACTCTGATGGTCAGAGTCTCTGACAACCTGCTGTTTAAATTAAGCAATGAAACATTTCAGTCATAAAGGGAAGTCCTTTGACCTGGAATTTTTAGCTTCTATTCAAGTTGCTCAATAAATGCAGCAATCAGGAACAGATATTTGCTCCAAGTTTCACTTTGGCTGTATTACTACTGTATGCATGTGTGTGTGTGTGCGTACGTGCGTGCACTGGAGGTTCCAGTAAAGACTATTTAAAAAGTAGTCTAATGGTGGGAGAGTGTCTTTGTGGAATCCCTTCAGTGTGTTAATGCCAGTGTTCCTCCCTTCAGCTCCTGTTTCCCTGAATCCTGTGACTCACACACAGTCTTACGGACAAAAAGCACTTTGAACTTCCTATAATCAGCATTCACTGTTGAACAAACCTTGTGAAAAGCAGCCATACTATTTTGACCCCACAGAGTACTAATGAAACTCGGATGGTAGTATCCTCTTCACTCATTTCCAGAACTTAAGAAATTACCTTCCACACTAAGGCCTTTTAAGGCCTTCAAACTAGACCCCACAGAGTTGGCAGAGTCTAGCTGTAGCTTCCTGTAAAGGATTTCAGAGTGACTAAAACAAAAATCCAGCAAAGATATGAGGAAGGGTGGGGAGGGAGTGAGGGGGAGCCGGGTGGAGAGACGAAGGAATGAGGAAGAAACGGAAGCAGCAGAGGGGAGTCCAGGGGAAAGACAGGATAACAAGGGAAAATCCCTGCTCTTTCCCCTGGGTCTGTCCTTGTACACTTGCATTCCTGCAAAATGAGTGAATCAACATGAAGGAGGTGAAAAGATTAGAGAAGAGAGGAGGTTTTTTGGGCATGAATAATGGCCCCAAGCTGTAGGCAGTGCCAAACACAAAGAAAGGTGATGGCAACGAAACAGAGGCTGTTCTTCTCCTGTGAACACTAGGAGGTAAAGCCAGTTCGTTGCCCAAAAAAACATCACACGTTCTTACGTCAGTGTTGTTGACAGTTACACTGATAACATCAGTCAGTTCATCAGTTATGGTTAGGAATCCTAAATTCTCTTAAGATATATGCAGCGAGAAATATGAAAAAAGAGACAGTAGTGAGTGAGCGAGACAGAGAAACAGCGCGCGCGCGAGAGAGAGAGAGAGAGAGAGAGAGAGAGTCACTGTACACCTTTCTGTCTCAGTGTGTGAGCACGGGAACCTCCTGTAACTCTCTCTCACACACACACACACACACACACACACACGCGGAGGGTTGCTGATATTTCCTGCTGGAACAATCCGCTGTTTTGGGGACTACTTTGCGCGGTTGTGAGCGCTGCGGAGGTTTCGTGCAGCCCGCTGACATGCAGCACAACCCGGCAGTGAGTGTGTGAGCTGCTGCAGGTTGAATGTAAAGTTTGGACTCCAGCTGCTGCATGTGAGGAGGAAACTTTCTGACACACACAGAGAGGAAGAGAGAGAGAGAGAGGAAGAGGAGAAAGTTTGTAGCTGTTCGCTGTTTTCTTGTTGTTGGTGGTGAAGCAGCTGCAGGATGTCTGACTCTGCCTCCAGTTTCCTTCACATCGGGGATATCGTGTCCCTGTACGCCGAGGGGTCAGTGAACGGCTTCATCAGCACCCTGGGGTGAGTCCACTGTCACTGACACACACCTGATCACCTGCAGCTCCACTTTTACTCAAAGTCCTTCACGTTTTCTGCCCCTTTATGCTTCAACTGCCCCACATTACTGCACTACACTGTAAAAAGGTTAGTTTCAGGGTTAAAAAACTGTCAGCTGTGGTAAAAGGATGTTAGTGCTGCTGATTTCATGATTAAAGATTACTGCATTAAATACCATATTAATCTGTATCTGTATTCAAATATTAGTTATGGTGGTTTTCTGTGCAATTTACAGTAAAAAAAGAGAACTTTATTCCATAATAAACCCTTTAAAATGCTGTATAAATATAGGTTTTGCCATCAGATATGACTGCTTTACTGTATTTAACCTGTTTAGAGTTAAATATTTGTACATTAAATGAAGATGTATCATTATAACAGATAATAAACATGCAAGAACTATTTAAAAAGTCATTAGACTTCCAGTGTGTGACCCTGTGGAGGGGCCCGACCCCTATGTTGGGAACTTAAAATCAACTGATACACTTTATCAGATTCTGATTATTAGTAATAAAGGAAACCAATAACAGATATTTACAGTAAAAATTAAAATCTTAGTGTCGACATTTCTAATAACCATGAGTGGAGTGTAACTAAGTACTTACGTACAGGTTTGAGGTATTTGTACTTGAGTATTTCCATTTTATGCAGCTTGGTACTTTCACTCTGCTATATTTTATCGTTTAATCAACTACTTTTATTGTAAAACTTCTTTTGCAGATTCACTTTATTTGTTTATGATTAATAGTTTATTCACCATATTTAAAATATTTGCTATTATTATGAATATTATTTGGTATAAATGACAAAATCAAGTTTACATGGAGCAAACGTGAAATGGAAATATTAATAAATACGTCCACGACCATAAAATGTAACACAATAATGCACATTTACATTATTAATATAAAGTATAAACTAATATTACTGTATTATAACAGACCTTTATCAGACAGAGCTGTGGACGGGTGACACTACTGAGGCGACTGTACTGCATTATTATATTAATTTATGTTATTGGCAATCAGATAGAGGATCTGATAATGATCCAGGCTGATAATCGATCTGTTCCTGGTTCATTTATATTTACTTATAAACCTTTTCTATGTGGATTGTTCCGAAATGACAACGCAAAGCTACTCAGGAGGCTTTAAAGAATATTTAAAGTCCAGTTGAAATAAAAAGATTAATTTTAATCCTCAATTATATTGTTCCCCTATTTAACAATGAATGACAAAAACAACAACAACAAAACAACTTTTAGCGACACAGAGCTTAGATTAATCAGTGAGCTCTGCTATCTAACAGCATGGCTAGCTAGCAGAGCTCACTGATTACTGTACAAACACAACTTTATCAGTGATTTGGGTGAAACTGGATCATATTTTATGGAGATATATATTGTCTGGTTTTCTCTACGACATCCTCCGGCTGCTCTGCCTCAACTCCGCTAACAGCTAACGTAGCTGAGCCTTACGAGTCCTGGAAAGTCCTGGGTTTTACATCAGGGGCCACAGAGGGGATCTAACACTCACTCAGCTCTCTGCCTGACCGAACTCGTCTACTTACAGCAGGTTGATGCCTGTAAAGCTTCAGTTTAAAGAGGTTAAAGTTACAGCAGCACCTACAGGCTGCAATGTCCATTACAAGTGTTGGACAGAACAAAGATCCTGATGGTCAGATCAATCGTGTAAAGGTTGTCCTGAGGGTGGCGCTAGAGGAAAGGCTTTGGGGAGCAGGATTGTCCTTAATGAACAAGGAAGGAAGTTTTGGAGACATTAACATTAAGGGTCCCACGAGTCCTGGAAAACATGGAAAACTTTACCAAAATGACCAATAATTGATGTTATCATGGAAGGTTCTGATAGTAGTTTAGCTCCTGGCTCAGATCGCCTACATAAACCTGTTTTGAAACTCAGCTGTTTGTTTAGCAGACGTGTAACGGAAAAACCCTCCTTTTCCATTTCGGGGCCCGTATCAGTCGGTCTTCCTGTTAACACTGGCTGCGAAGGGAAACGGACTTGCACTGATCTTTTCCACGTGGAGGCCTACCGGTGAATTATATGAC